CTCCAAGCCATAAGACTCCTGAACAGCTAATCATGGCTACCCAGACACTTTTTTGTTGTTTTATTTTACTTTTTTATTAAAAAATAAATGCACTGTTGGTTAAGGGCTGTAAGTAAGCATTTCACTGTAATGTCTGCACCTGTTGTATTCGGCGCATGTGGCCAATAAAATTTTATTTTATTTTATTTTATTTACTTGTGTGCTGCTATAGGCCCTTGCTTTAGCTACTGTCATAGAGTTCGCTAAATATTTTCACACAGGTGCTAAATCAAGGTGACTTACAAAGATTAGGTCTAAGAGCAAGAGAGGGAGTTTGGTGATTTAGTGTCCACAACTAAATAATCATTGTGGAATCTGAAAAGACACGTATCCCAAAAGCATGCTACGTGCACATGCTAAAAGCAAGGTACGAGGTGGGTAGTTAACCAAGTGTGTCATTGTAGCAAAGTATTTCTAAACTAAAAATCAGATCTCTTAAACGTTTAATTCATTTTCGTTCTATTATCTATACAATAGGCCATAATTGATTTTGGCCCAATATGCCTGGCATATTCCCACGTTCAAGGAGCTTTCCATTTTGATTGGGTTATTTTGCCTAATAACCTTTAGGCCTACCTATAGAAAAAAAAAAAAAAAAACTTTGCATCTCTGCCCAGCCTGGCAAGAGTGGCCAAAAGGATGTTTAGCATCCCCAGTGGCTCTGCAAGTATGGAGAGGATATTCTCCGCTGCTGGCCGGCTCTCCAGGCACCATCACATGAGCCTGAAGCCACAGACTGGCCAAACTCGTGTTTCAAAAAATGTATTCAAAAAATTAATTCAAAGGCACTAAGTCATTTTTCATTTAATTTGTATTTAATTCTAAGTAAGTAACGGCCTATATGCGCAATATATAGATTTGATTTGATAAAGATTTAATACAACGAAATGTTGTTTAAATGCTGAGCGTTTTATGTCCCTACCAGCCTAGTGTGTATTTATTTGTAGGCTATAGCCTTGAAATAATTGAAATAATATAGCCTAAATAATTCATTTTCGTTCCTTCTTAGGCTCCCTGTCTGGCTCCTGACCTATTTAGAGTGTTTATATGCTGTTTAATATGACATGTAGCCTATTTGAAATGATGTTATCTTCTTACATTAACCTTTTCATGTTTATTCAAATACTTTTCATTCAAATCCATATGGTTTGGTTTCAATACTTAAAAACCAATTGGTAGGTCCAGGTAGTCACAAAAATAGATGGGTGTTGGTTAAATTGTGATTTTAATGAATGAAGCGAATTTGGAGCGGCAGTTATTTTTCCTGTGAGCGCCGAGCGGTTTTTAGCGGAGCAGTATGAAAGCACATGGAGCGATGAGTGGGATTTCCAATCGCTCAACTCTGTTCCAGAAGCAGTTTGGAACTCGGTAGTGAGTGTTGCAACCGAGGACAGAGGATTTTTACACGCTACACGCTTCAGCACTCGGTGGTCCCATTCTGTGGCTTACCACTTCAGGCTGAGCCGTTGCTGCTCCTAGACGTTTCCACTTCACAATAACTGCACTTACATTTGACCAGGGCAGCTCTAGCAGGGCAGAAATGTGACGAACTAACTTGTTGGAAAGGTGGCATCCTATGACGGTGCCACGTTGAAAGTCATTGTGCTCTTCAGTACTGGCCATTCTACTGCCAATGTTTGTCTATGGAGATTGCATGGCTGTGCTCGATTTTATACACCTGTCAGCCGAATCCACTAATTTGAAGGGATGTCCACATACTTTTAGTGTCCTTGAACTTTTGCCATATTTCCACGCAATAAGTATTTCTCATTAAGCCAGCAGGTTCAAGTTTTTCGTCATGTATCTTGCTCTGGAGGCAGCGCTGCAGAATGGTCACTAGCTGCCACAGCCACAAAGTCATAACATTTCATTTAAAACCTAACCCTAACCACACTGCTAACCCTAACCTTAAAATAATTTTTGTTTTCATTAATTTTTACAATACAGAGAATTTTGACTTTGCAACTGGCCCATCTAGCGGAAATCGCTTGGTTCTGCCTCCAGGACAAGACCCATCTCAATAAACGTCAACCTGCATTTTCCAGGTCCATAATGCAATAGATAATACAGTTGCTAGAGAGCACATTCCTCCCTTCGGCAAGATAAAGGGAGTGACAGCTGGAACCACCAATTATCATTATCGTAACACCCGGTCTTCAGAGTGAACGACGGATTTATCCTACCAAAGAGTAGGCTATTCCCTTCCCTGCTGATGCTGCAGGACCACAAAACTGCAAGGGAAAGGAGGCACAAAGATCCACACAGGACCCATCATAAAAATATAATGAATAGAACGGGAGTCCCCATTCAAGTCAAATATGGAATAATGGGTGGACTGGCAGCCATTGTGAGTGTACCCATGCCAGGAAGTAAAAGCAGGAAGTGTACCATTCAATCTGTCCTGTGATTTGTTGAGTCAACTCAACTGACATTACAAAAAATACATTCCATTGCATGAGCCACTTCAGTTAGCATCATTTAAATAAACCAGTGGAAGCTGGTGGGAGGAGCTTTAGGAGGACAGGCTCATTGTATGAAAATGTATGCACTCACTAACTGTAAGTCACTCTGGATAAGAGCGTCTGCTAAATGACTAAAATGTAAATGTAAAAAATTGTAATGGCTGGAATGGAATACATGGAACAGAGTCAAACATGTGGTTTCCATATATTTGATGTGTTTGATACCATTCCATTTATTCCATTCCAGCCATTACAATGAGCCCGTCCTCCTACATCTCCTCCCACCAGCCTCCACTGGAATAAACATTCTACATTAACATGGCAATCCAGCATCAGTTAATAGAACATTCCAAACAATCATGGAAATTGTTTTATCACAATACCAGGCAGCCATTGCGATTGTCCCCATGAGTTTACCAATCAAATTGCAAGGGTAAGAGCTTCCAAGCACGTTCTATTCTATTCTATGTGCAGTGTGCATAGTAATTAGGGTTTGTCTAAGTGTTTGTTTGATATACTTTCAGCTCTATGGCTATATGGAAGTGTGCAAGTCACGGAGCTGGGTGAGTTTCAGCACACCATGGGGGAAGTGGGGGGTTCTGACACACTGCAGCTCCTCCCATGGCCCAACTGGAGGAGTGCTGAGCTGACTGGTTGTATCCGCCAGCAACAGACAGTAGTGCAGTAGTGGATTATTACACACACTAATGAGTATAAGAGTTCTCAAATCCTAACTTGAGATCTGGGCATGTACGTAACTCAGACATTTGTGTAAATTATGCATTGATGTCAATGGGGGACCGATCTCAAGTTAGGATTTGGCCCTATTTAAGCATACAGTGAGGGAAAAAAGTATTTGATCCCCTGCTGATTTTGTACGTTTGCCCACTGACAAAGAAATTATCAGTCTATAATTTTAATGGTAGGTTTATTTGAACAGTGAGAGACAGAATAACAACAAAATAATCCAGAAAAACGCATGTCAAAATGTTATAAATTGATTTGCATTTTAATGAGGGAAATAAGTATTTGACCCCCTCTCAATCAGAAAGATTTCTGGCTCCCAGGTGTCTTTTATACAGGTAACGAGCTGAGATTAGGAGCACACTCTTAAAGGGCGTGCTTCTAATCTCAGTTTGTTACCTGTATAAAAGACACCTGTCCACAGAAGCAATCAATCAATCAGATTCCAAACTCTCCACCATGGCCAAGACCAAAGAGCTCTCCAAGGATGTCAGGGACAAGATTGTAGACCTACACAAGGCTGGAATGGGCTACAATACCATCACCAAGCAGCTTGGTGAAGAGGTGACAACAGTTGGTGCGATTATTCGCAAATGGAAGAAACACAAAATAACTGTCAATCTCCCTCTGCCTGGGGCTCCATGCAAGATCTCACCTCGTGGAGTTGCAATGATCATGAGAAAGGTGAGGAATCAGCCCAGAACTACACAGGAGGATCTTGTCAATGATCTCAAGGCAGCTGGGACCATAGTCACCAAGAAAACTATTGGTAACACACTACGCCGTGAAGGACTGAAATCCTGCAGCGCCCGCGAGGTCCCCCTGCTCAAGAAAGCACATATACATGCCAGTCTGAAGTTTGCCAATGAACATCTGAATGATTCAGAGGAGAACTGGGTGAAAGTGTTGTGGTCAGATGAGACCAAAATCGAGCTCTTTGGCATCAACTCAACTCGCCGTGTTTGGAGGAGGAGGAATGCTGCCTATGACCCCAAGAACACCATCCCCACCGTCAAACATGGAGGTGGAAACATTATGCTTTGGGGGTGTTTTTCTGCTAAGGGGACAGGACAACTTCACCGCATCAAAGGGACGATGGACGGGGCCATGTACCGTCAAATCTAGGGTGAGAACCTCCTTCCCTCAGCCAGGGCATTGAAAATGGGTCGTGGATGGGTATTCCAGCATGACAATGACCCAAAATCACACGGTCAAGGCAACAAAGGAGTGGCTCAAGAAGAAGCACATTAAGGTCCTGGAGTGGCCTAGCCAGTCTCCAGACCTTAATCCCATAGAAAATCTGTGGAAGGAGCTGAAGGTTCGAGTTGCCAAACGTCAGCCTTGAAACCTTAATGACTTGGAGAAGATCTGCAAAGAGGAGTGGGACAAAATCCCTCCTGAGATGTGTGCAAACCTGGTGGCCAACTACAAGAAACGTCTGACCTCTGATTGCCAACAAGGGTTTTACCACCAAGTACTAAGTCATGTTTTGCAGAGGGGTCAAATACTTATTTCCCTCATTAAAATGCAAATCAATTTATAACATTTTTGACATGCGTTTTTCTGGATTTTTTTGTTGTTATTCTGTCTCTCACTGTTCAAATAAACCTGCCATTAAAATTATAGACTGATCATTTCTTTGTCAGTGAGCAAACGTACAAAATCTGCAGGGGATCAAATACTTTTTTCCCCTCACTGTATTACTGAGCTGATTATAATTTGGACTCCACTCACCCTGATGCCAAGCTCCACATTCTCTCCACCATAGACCTCCATTCCCTCATCCAATAGGCCAATCTTCTCAAAGTACTTCCTGTCCACCACGAAACAGCCAATTAGAGCTGGGCTCCTGGTACAAAATGGCAAAAGAGAGAGAAAGTAATTTATGCGCTGTAGTTCTGTGAACTACTTCCTAGTACTTGCTCGTTTATTTGTAACACTAAGTGCTCAACTGAAGATTATGCACATTTGATTTCATGATAAACATTTGTTTTCAATAATAAACCTACAAGGTTGTTTGCCTATTCCTTTATTTTTATTTTGCTGTCAAGAATAAGCATGATTTCCTGCATCATGTTACTAAGTAACGGCTGTCTAAAAACAACCAGGAGAAAGAAAACAAGAGCTTTCATCTACATCAAACTGATGCAACAGGTTCACACACATTATTGTTCTTACATTGATTTTGATTACAGAACAAAGACTAAACAAAATGATGTGGGTTTCTCAATGCCAACAGAAACAGTGCCTGTGAAATAGCAGAAGACAACTGTTGATTATAAAAGTCTTAGCTGACAGTAACCTGATAGGGGCGGTGTGGTTGTGCTGTGTCCACCAGGCTTTGGGCGGATTCAGGTAGCGACACCACAGCTCCCAGTCGAAGCCCTGAGCAGACAGCGGATATTCCTCGATCTCAAACGTGTCATACTTGATGTTGTCAAACGATGGCGAGATGATGCGTGTTCTGTCCTCCTTGATCCTGAGCAGGATGGGCTCGGCCCTGTCGGGAAGACAAGGCATGGTGGGACGTTGTGTAGCTATCACATTCACTGTGTCTTTTTCAATGAAAACGATATGAGGAAGAACACATTCTATCACCATGCATTTTTCATTACTTCCCTAACATCACAGGAAAGATAGGGGGAAACAGTGGGAATGTGGGTCTTTCATCCTGCCCACTGATTGTTAATGGCTCTTTATGGGTTCTTGTCCTATGGCTATGGGTTCCAGTATTCCGTGCCACACAAAGAATGAGTTTGAGATGTGTTGATTTGGTGGGTGAAACAAATGAGGTTGGATAAAGCTTATTACCATGCATGTCAGATAACAAGCCAGACATGAGTCAAAGCCACAGTCAAGGAAATACACATATTAACACATTTATATACACAGTGTACAAAACATTAAGGACAGCTGCTCTTTCCATGACAGACTGACCAGGTGAATCCAGGTGAAAGCTATGATCCCAAATTGATGTCAGTTGTTAAATCCACTTCAAATCAGTGTAGATGAAGGGGAGGGGACTGGTTAAAGAAGGAGTTTTAAACCTTGAGACAACAGACATGGATTGTGTATGTGTGCCATTCAGAGGGTGAAGGGGCAAGACAAAACATTGAAGTGCCTTTGAACGGGGTATGGTAGTTGGTGCCAGGCGCAACGGTTTGTGTCAAGAACTGCAACGCTGCTGGGTTTTTCACACGTATCAAGAATGGTCCACCACCCAAAGGACATCCAGCCAACTTGACAACTTTGGGAAGCATTGGAGTCAACATGGGCCAGCATCCCTGTGGAAAACTTTCGACACCTTGTAGAGTCCATGCCTCGACGAATTAAGGCTGTTCTGAGGGCAAAAGGGGGGGGTGCAACTCAATATTAGGAAGGTGTCCTTAATGTTTTGTACACTCAGTGTAGTTCTCACTAAAGGACATTTGAAGACTTCTACATGGGAGTTTGAGTTTTCAATTTTAGACTAGATAGAACACTTCAAGATAAGACAGAAAATCATATTGCGGACTGGCTCTTGACTGGCATTGGACAACATGTCCACAGCTCCTGATTATTTTAATTTTAATGACAGACATTGTTCAATCAATCATTCAAAATAACAATGTTAGGTCTCCACGGGGCTTGCATAAGTGTGCAATTAGATTTGGAAAAGGAAGGATCATCAGCAGACACACAAATAGCATCAACTTTTTTTTTTGTACAAAAGGCCTCAGATCAATTTTAATATGAACAGCCAACCTGTAATTATATCAACATGTTTATATGCAATGTTTTTAGCTGTTGGATAGATAGGCACATGCACATATGGCATCCCAGTCCCTTACCATCCGATGTTGAACTCCACGTGGGCATCGAACAGGGCCACGACGGGGGCGCTGGCGGCCCTCCACCCACTGACCCGGGAGCGGATCAGTCCCTCCTGCTTGTCGTGACGGACCAGCTTGATGAAGTCTGGCCGCTGGGAGTTGGTCTCCTTCACAAAGTGTTGAAGGTTCTCCTTCAGCTCAGCTATAGAAACATTTGTAGATGGATTCGTATAGGTTTTTCATAGTGTCTGTCTGTCTGACCTTTACAAAGAAGTGGCTGAAACATTGCTGCATGAAACACTGGGAAGCTTTGAAACAGTGTGTAGGTATTTCTCATTACGTCTTATAAAAGCCTACACCTGTGAAATCTGCTGAAGGTATGTTCAGTGTACACTACCTTGGACTATTGACTAACCACACATTTAAAAATGTGGTTTACAGTCCGAAGTGCTATCTATTCCACATTCCATGGTGTAAAGGGTATTTCAAAGGAATAATACTGGGGTTGTGAAAAGTCCTCTGGAAATATCCTATTATTGATGTCTATCAGCAGCGTCTGGTTGAGGGGAGTCAATTCTGCTTTCCCACAAGCTCCATCTGCCACCTGTTTGTTTTAATTTGCTAGGTGGTCACGGCAGTGGCTCCTCATGGCAACGAAATGGAGTGATTGGGTCATTAAGGGCGAGGATCAGACATCACTGTCCATTTTCATTACAGCAGTGTTGGGGAGTAAGCTGAGACACTTTAGGGGACAATAGCTTTCAGACATGTTATGTATGACAATATTCATAATACAACCATGAACTGATTAGGATTAACTAAGTAATATACAGCATTAGTTAGTGGTGAAAATACAGGAATTTAACTCATTTAGAAATTAAGAGTACAAATAAGAGGACTAAGGTCAATTTGATTAATTGGATTGTCATGGGAAGTAACCCCAGCTGACTCTATGAGCCACCCCACTAAGGATGGGGAGCTGTTAGCCAGACTCCTGAAACTGTACAGAACGGAAAGTGTCTCATTGTTCAAAGTGAGCCAACTGCCAAGGAATTAATTAGAATATCAACGGCCACAAAGGAACATTTTATAGCTTCATTTCCACTCTCAGTAATACTCTGCCTCTGGGCTATGGTTCCGTTTTCCAATTCATTTACATTACAGACGCGCCTCTCTTTTTAATCCAATGATTCAATGTTTATAGCCTAAAATAGGAGGCCTTAGTAAAAATATTAATTCAAAAGAAGCAGCCTGTTTTTTTATCCCTCTGCCGGACTATTTTGACCCTCATTTGTCATCATAATATGATACATGTTTAGTTAAGTATGCAGCTCATACGCCTTCATGGGAAATGATCAGTCTAAGTAAAACAGAGCCTTTAAATCTTCTCACTTCCCTCTGGCTCTATAGCTGATCAGTATACAGGTCTGTCCGGCTGAAATAGCTAGGCTAACAAATAAGTTAATTGGGAGCTGTGTGAAAGTAATCCATTAAATTGGCAAGCAACACCAGCACATTTTTTAAGATATTGTAAATGTGTATAGGGGTAAGATACATTTTATGGGTAATACAATTAAAGAGAAACTTCTGATGTACTCTCTGTCCTCAAGCATGTCAAGTGTGAATTGATCTAACTGATGATGTAAACACATATTTTGTAGGCATGCATTTATGCTTGCTATTAAGCAGCCTGAATGGATTCCTGTACACAATGCAGTTTGTATACTTTGTAGGCTACATTTAGTAAGAATATAGGAGTTACCATTGTTGCTGTTGTCATCGACCAGGATGATCTCCTTGAGGAGGTGGGCGGGAGTTCTGTTCATGGCTGTGTGGATGGAGCGCAGGATGACCGACAGGGCTTCGTTCACAAAGATAAAGATGATACTGACTTGGGGGAGATTGGTGGGGTACGACATGTTTCTGCATCTGAGGAGAAACAGCAAACAGACAAGATATGAAAAAACAATTTTCCTGTCAGAACTTGGATCAGTATGTTTTTTAATGGATGATAAAAAGGAACCAACAGAAGGGTCAAAGGTCACTGACCCATCAGGTCTGAGGTCTGGGATGGGTCTGGTCAGAGAGAGGCGGTCACTGAGGAAGCCATTGTAGCCGTAGTACTGGAACTTTTTCAGCGCCACCCGGCGACTCTCAGGACCGAGGTCATGACCCCAGCGGACGAACAGGGATGAGTCTGAGAGGGACTTCCCTGCTTTTTCTTCACTATCCTTCTGGGGCACCTCTGTAGGAGAGGAAAAGAAGCGATAAAATGTTTGGCTGGGCAATAGAAAGAACAGTGTTTACATTCATGACGTTGCCGCATACTTCACATAGCTTACATTAAAGAGATTTATACCGGGTGGGGAAAAGTCACTGTATTCAGCATGATAACATAGCAGGCACACTTCCTGGAATACATTAGCATTTGAATTGATCCATCATCTAAACGCTGCTGTGTGTTACTGAGGCCTTGGACTAATGATACTACACATGCATATTTCGACTTCTCCGGTCGTCTACTGAAGCAGCAATACCAAACAGGTTAGTCCTACTATATCACATTGTCTGGACAAGATGATAATTTCTCCTTCACTCAACACCAGTATTGTCAGCTAAAAGAATGCAACCCAGTGGAACGTTACTGAGGTATTTACAGCGAGTGATGAAATGTCCTCACAAAGCACAGCGCGTGATGAAGGGCTCGGTGCAGGTAATTACTGAATGCTAATTATCAGCCGAGGTTATTTAATAATAGTCACTACATTGCACTCTCTCTCAGTACTAAGTCATTCATCTCTGCCACGACTAGGACCCCAACATTTGCTACTCTGAGGGCACAACTACAGTTGAAGTCGGAAGTTTACATACACTTAGGTTGGAGTCATTAAAACTAGTTTTTGAACCACTCCACAAATGTCTTGTTAACAAACTATAGTTTTGGCAAGTTGGTCAGGACATCTACTTTGTGCATGACACGTAATTTTTCCAACAATTGTTTACAGACAGATTATTTCACTTATAATTCACTGTATCACAATTCCAGTGGGTCAGAAGTTTACATACACCAAGTTGACTGTGCCTTTAAACAGCTTGGAAAATTCCAGAAAATGATGTCATGGCTTTAGAAGCTTCTGATAGGCTAATTGACATCATTTGAGTCAATTGGAGGTGTACCTGTGGATGTATTTCATGGCCTACCTTCAAACTCAGTGCCTCTTTGCTTGACATCATGGGAAAATCAAAAGAAATCAGCCAAGACCTCAGATAAAAATTGTAGACCTCCACAAGTCTGGTTCATCCTTGGGAGCAATTTCCAAACGCCTGAAGGTACCACGTTCATCTGTACAAACAATAGTACGCAAGTATAAACACCATGGGACCACGCAGCCGTCATACCGCTCAGGAAGGAGACGCGTTCTGTCTCCTAGAGATGAACGTACTTTGGTGCAAAAAATGGCAAATCAATCCCAGAACAGCAAAGGACCTTGTGAAGATGCTGGAGGAAACGGGTACAAAAGTATCTATATCCACAGTAAAACTAGTCCTATATCGACATAACCTGAAAGGCCGCTCAGCAAGGAAAAAGCCACTGCTCCAAAACCGCCATAAAAAAGCCCAACTACGGTTTGCAACTGCACATGGGGACAAAGATCGTTCTTTTTGGAGAAATGTCCTCTGGTCTGATGAAACAAATATAGAACTGTTTGGCCATAATGACCATCGTTATGTTTGGAGGAAAAAGGGGCGCTTGCAAGCCGAAGAACACCATCCCAACCAAGAAGCACGGGGGTGGCAGCATCATGCTGTGGGGGTGATTTGCTGCAGGAGGGACTGGTGCACTTCACAAAATAGATGGCATCATGAGGAAGGAAAATTATGTGGATATATTGAAGCAACATCTCAAGACATCAGTCAGGAAGTTAAAGTTTGGTCGCAAATGGGTCTTCCAAATGGACAATGACCCCAAGCATACTTCCAAAGTTGTGGCAAAATGGCTTAAGGACAACAAAGTCAAGGTATTGGAGTGGCCATCACAAAGCCCTGACCTCAATCCTATTGAAAATGTGTGGGCAGAACTGAAAAAGCATGTGCGAGCAAGGAGGCCTACAAACCTGACTCAGTTACACCAGCTCTGTCAGGAGGAATGGGCAAAAATTCACCCAATTTATTGTGGGAAGCTTGTGGAAGGCTACCCGAAACGTTTGACCCAAGTTAAACAATTTAAAGACAATGCTGCCAAATACCAATTGAGTGTATGTAAACTTCTGACCCACTGGGAATGTGATGAAAGAAATAAAAGCTGAAATAAATCATTCTCTCTACTATTATTCTGACATTTCATATTCTTAAAATAAAGTGGTGATCCTAACTGACCTAAGACAGGTAATTTTTACTAGGATTAAATGTCAGGAATTGTGAAAAACTGAGTTTAAATATATTTGGCTAAGGTGTATGTACATTTCCGACTTCAACTGTACATCTGAGGAGGAGGATGTTGACATGAAGGGTTCAGTATGCACCGACTCCTGACAGCACAATAATACTCAGATTAAATATACACTACATGACCAAAAGTATGTGGACACCTGCTTGTTGAACTTCTCATTCCAAAATCATGGGCATTAATATGGAGTTGGTCTCCCCTTTGCTGCTATAACAGCCTCCACTCTTCTGGGAAAGCTTTCCACTAGATGTTGGAACATTGCTGCGGGGACTTGCTTCCATTCAGCCACAAGAGCATTAGTGAGGTCGGGCACTGATGTTGGGTGATTAGGCCTGGCTCGTAGTCAGCGTTCCAATTCATCCCAAAGGTGTTCGATGGGGTTGAGGTCAGGGCTCTGTGCAGGCCAGTCAAGTTCTTCCACACCGATCTCGACAAACCATTTCTGTTTGGACCTCGCTTTGTGCACGGGGGGCATTGTCATACTGAAACAGGAAAGGGCCTTCCCCAAACTTTTGCCGCAAAGTTGGAAGCACAGAATCGGTTAAAATGTCATTGTATGCTGTAGCGTTGATATTTCCCTTCACTGGAACTAATGGCGGCAAGCTTTACACTACTCCAGCCGACTCTTAGCATTGCGCATGGTGATCTTAGGCTTGTGTGCGGCTTCTTCGCCATGGAAACCCATTTCATGAATCTCCCAATGAACAGTTATTGTGCTGACGTTGCTTCCAGAGGCAGGATGGAACTCGGTAGTGAGTGTTGCAACCGAGGACAGACGATTTATACGCGCTACGCGCTTCAGCACTCGGCGGTCCCGTTCTGTGAGCTTGTGTGGCCTACCACTTCACGGCTGAGCCGTTGTTGCTCCTAGACGTTTCCAGTTCACAATAACAGCACTTACATTTGACGGGGGCAGCTCTAGCAGGGCAGAAATTTGACAAACTGACTTGTTGGAAAGGTGGCAACACATGACGGTGCCACGTTGAAAGTCACTGAGCTCTTCAGTAAGGCCATTCTAATGCCAATGTTTGTCTATGGAGATTCCATGGTGGTGTGCTCGATTTTATATACCTGTCAGAAACGGGTGTGGCTGAAATAGCCAAATCCACTAATTTGAAGGGGTGTCCACATACTTTTGTATATATAGTGTATATTTAGAAGGATAGGTGTGGTTTCGGGTAAATATCCAATGAGAATGTATCTGATAAAATTGGAGCCTAAATCAAAAACCTTGCACACAGTGTTAAAATAATTAGGTGTGTTGTCTTTTGCTCACAAAAGTACTTGTTCGGAGTGAATAATGTTAGTAAAAGATGGGGACATGAATTGAGAAATACGATTCTTGCGGCACAGAGAACAATAATTGGCCACAATAGAAAACTGTAGTTAGTTGTAACTATGTACAATGAGTGCAAGCTGTGCGTCTAGTCTCGTGTAAAAACAAAAAGACAAGAATTCAAAAACAGAATATTTCTATAGACGGGTTGGTTATTTAGCAACAAAACCGATGCGTGTGCAAATATGGGGCAAAACACAAGGGGTTGGCTTAGAATGTTCACAACATGTAAACTATATTTAGTCTCCAATGTTTATTGAAAACATAAATACATTTGCACAGTGAGCACTTGTTGTCTTTCAAATACATCGTTACAGCTGTTGGTTAGCTAGCTAGCAAATGTTATGTTTTGACATTAAATTAGTCAAAACAAGACATTGTATCAAGAACAAGATGAAATTAGCTAAAACAAGCCACTTACGTTCCCACATGGCAGTTTCTTGTCATTGTTGCTAGCTATCTGGCCATCCAGAATCACAACACCACACAGACTTCTGGCCAATTGAAGCGTGTGCATTGTTTTCGTGACGTTGTCAGATAAACCACCTATGGCATGCATTGAAGTCTTTTGCTCCAAACTGTCAACAACAGTCCAGTCTGCCTATGGGAAATGGACTAGATACCGTAGTTTTCAAAGCTCAATGAAGGTAAAGGAGACATGTGCATTCCGCCAGTTGAGTAACAGTATTAAATTATACATAATACAATCTGCAAAATCTATGAGATTAAATAATTCTACACAATCCTATTTCCAGTAAATTATTGTAAAAATGTAAAGCTTAGAACAAGTAATTGCTTCTCCCGCACACTGGCTCTGATGTATGGCTTGTAATTTTCACCTTGGTAATGGCATTATAAATAAATATAAGCATTCACTGTGTACTTGGAAAAAAACAGTTCAGTGTCTTTTTTTCCCACCTCAAATTCATTAGCAGCCGTAATAGCAGGGTAAATGTTTACCCTGTGCTCTAGGCAGGCTATATAGTTCTGTATGTAACACATTTTGCCTGGCCCAGGCTACCAACACACCTCTGGGCTATAGTGGACCTCTGTGGTTAATCATGTGGCAAAGAGGGGGGCCGTGCAGGCATGTATGAAGGCTTCAATGGACAGCAATGTATTGGACTGGAAAAAGTAGCCACTTGGGACTGGAACACTTTGCTGTTGTCTTGTTGCCAAAAGCTAACAATTACACAAGTAGTGCATGAGTTTGAAGTAATTTACTGTCAGTCATGAAGTTAACATACAGTGGGGGTATAGGTTGTCTGAGGCCTACTACGGATGTGTCTGATTACGGTCCTGCCTTGGGGGGTATGTATCCTCCCTCTGAACCTGTACAGTACCCCTACCCCCTTAGACCACTGAGAGCCTAGTGTGTTTGATAGGGTTGGGGAGGTGGTTCGGGCTTGTGAGCTCCAGGGTACAGCCCAAAAAAGCATTTCACTCTGTATGTCACCCCT